GCGCGTCGGTGATGGGCATGAGTGTATAGTAGTATACGCCGCCGATTCCACAAGATGCTACCATTGATGTCTGTCTATAGTCATTCTATAGGGCACCGTCAGCTAAACAACAAGAATTCGTTTGAAAGTGAAAGCATTAATTAGACCAGACTGGTGTGTTTGAGTCGATGGTTTGAGTCATTTGGGATCCCGGCAACGGGTTGGGAACGGACATATTTTGGGCCTGAGAAAAGGCACTTTCAGCATTAAAAAAGGGCACTGTCGAAAATTAGGGGGCGCCCCCCCCTTGGATCCGCCTCTGTTCCCAACTAGGCAACTAACTCTCTCGGATCACAGTTGTTTTTGTTAAACATTGTTCTCTTGTTTCTGTCTCAGTTTTATATATATTCTGGTAATATACATTTAAAACCATTGTCTTAAATTGTATTCGTATATATATTACATTCTGCATGTTCTGTTTTCTACATTGACAATTATACTTTAAGAGCTGCTGTGAAGGAAGTATCACCCTAGATGGAAGCGGACGTTAAACCCCACGAACGAACAAACCAGGGATAATACTTCTTTAGTGTCTGCATTTTTATTCATTGGCGCGTAAAGCTTTCCGAGCATATGAATAAATTAAACTGAATTGAGATGTAATGCTTGTTTATAGGTTTACTGTAAACTGGGCTACGTTTTTTGGAATTGAAATATTTCCTTAGTTATTTTATTGGAGGTTTATTAACAGGGAGTGTGTATAGGAGTAAAATACTGACCCCTTTCTTGTATTTTATATTCGAGTAGTTCTATAGATTCTTGTTCAGTTTAAATGTTTGGCTAATCAGGCGTTTTCAGTTGGGTTCCATATTAACATTGGTTGAAGTATATGTTATTTTATGTGATGCTGGGATCTATGATCCGCTGTCGGTCTTTGTAGCCACTTTAACAATTCCCTAGACAAAATAGTAATTACTCTCATGCGTGTAAAATGTACAAATGAAGTCATGACGAGGATGTTCCGGGTTCGTGTCTCGAACCCAAGGATTATTTTTATATTTCTACCCTACACCCTATAAATTACTGACAACTTCTAGAAAAATTACCTTTGCCCTGTGCACGATATCATTGCCACAACTGTGGCTATATTTACTTTCAATATATGGTATATCGTGGTTAATGCCTCTAATTATGATGTTAATAATTTTATAAGATACCTTACTTAAGTCGGCATCACCGAGACTATATAATTTTTCTAATGGGAGAGATACTATATTGAGGTTTGGTAAAAAGCGCATAAATAACTTGACTTCCTCTTATTTTATTACAATACACTCCCAAGACAATACACACGACCGCTCAATAGTTGTAGATTCTATTCTGGGTACCATCCGCACCTAGCATCGTTAAACATAACCCGTAAGGTTAATGGTTTAGTTATTCGATGGTGTGATTGTCAAAAAGTAAAATTTCTTTCAACTAAAAGCAGTAAAAGATATTTCTGACTGCAATGTATTTCGATGTCCGGAATCCGACAACGAGCTTTGTTATTTTCATCATTTTGGCTGACGTTTCCTATACTAAAATCGTCTTTGTTCTTTTTTATTTTTTTTATTTTTAAATTGATTTATAGTTAAGTAAAGACAGCGAGAAGACATTCAGACTTATGTGCTAAAACAGAATGGATGATTTATAGTCTTTCAAATACCGATCTAAGTCAAATGCATTGACGTTTACATCTTTGTTCCGCTTATTTAACCAACTTCTTTCTTATAGATCAAGATACCACCTATATCATTTTTTAAATCTTAAAATAACTCTATTTTCTATAGCACGTAGACTCTTGTGAAAATTTGAATAGAGAGTTTTGCATAAATAATCGAAATTTATTTTATGGCCTTTTGACACGTGCAGAATTTCAGGTAATTATAAAGTATAAGACGGTGTCTTCGTTTTAGCATTAAAAAAGTAAAGATTAATATAAGAAATGTACTACGTACGTTCTTTATTTGATCTTTCTGTTTTACACAGACAAGACACAAAAACGCTAGAAAATGTTGTTTTGTAGTTAGACTAGTTTCATAAACTTGAGCAATCATATGAAGAGTTGTCCCCTTTTATTAGCAATTAAGTTCAATATATTTGAGCACTGGCATTAAAACAAAACTCAGATCAATACTTTAAACAGAAAAATTCGAAAGAACGGGGGTGTTGAAAATCACGATTTTATGGTATCGACATGGAGTATAATATTAAATGTGCCTTTTAGAATGCGAGCGTCGGTACAAGGATATTTCAAGGTTAATATCTGATCACCGAGCACGCGCTCTTGCATTAATTCAGGAGGGCGTGAGTACTAGAGTAGTCGCCCGAAAGTTTGGATACCACTGTTGTTCTAAGACTGGCTGATAGTTTCCAGCAGACATTGTTTACCAGAGATCGAATAAGGCCAGTATCGGGTGGTATCGCTTTGACGAGACCCACACATTGTCCGACAACAGCTTCCTGTAATGCTGCTACTTTGGGGTATAAACAGAAATTATCAGTACTGCCGCCGTTCATTAAAATATGCACAGGTTTCAGCATGATATGCTAGCGGACATGCAACATGTGCCCCTATGAACCAAAACAACATATCAGTGATCGAATGGCCAGCTCTCCCTCCTGGTGTATCACAATTCAAGCACTGTGGGACAATACGGGACGTGGTGTCTCCAAAGGTCCCCAACCTTGATATCTTCTTCAACTGGAAGCAGCGTTGCAACGAGAGTGACGGGTGATCCCAAAACCAGGAATCTTATCTCCTCCATATGGCGACAATGGCGTGGATGACTGCTAGAGGTGGACAACAATCGTGCTGTTTCATTGGGTCTCAGAATATATCAGACGATGGTATTCTTTGATCCGTTTTTACAGCTGCTAATATAGATATTTGTTTGATAGATGATGTGTTTGATGAATGGTGGTCAATATGATGTCATATTTACACTTGTATTCTGTTTATATAATCATAAATATATAAACGATCTATCACCGCTTTCATTAAATATCAGTATAATTACAGGACAAAAAAGATCGATTACTGATTGTTCGTCATCTTAAATATCATTTGATTGTAATGGGTCAAAGGGCGTATATCTGTAAGGTATTACGGTCAGTTTGGGACATATAATTACCTAGATTAACGTTTTATCGTGTTGCTGTCATCTCGGTATTATCACAAATAAATAGTACCTTTTTAATCATCATCGATCAAAGGAACCTACCCCATACTAACACTGACAATATTAATTCCTGGAATAACCGGTTTACTTACGTCACAAAGCATAAATAGAAAGGTTAAGAGTTCCTCCGCGTGCCTTCCGTAGATGGATATATACGCTATGTCTATTTAATTGCTCGTGTTTTAATCACCAACTGTATATAGTAAACAGCAAATAAAAATAAATTAGAACTGACACTTTTATATGTTCTTATGCGAATCTGACACGCGTTGCTCAGGGTCCTTTACTTCGCCTCGAGAGTCCACTTTGTGCAATAAACAGATTAAAATTGACGACACCATCGATAAAGAAATTCGAAATAACTTCGTTAGTAGCAGTTACATTAAATTCCACTCGCCTTCATAAATAATAGTTACAAGTAAAATATTTATGCGTTTGCTGCTGTTTGAGTTTCTGTATATAGTAATCTATTATTTATTTATGGGTGTATTTTATTGTTTTCAGCAAGCCAAAACAACTCAGAAAGGAGGCTCTTAAAGTTATCATATTTTGAAGTTCATGTCAACATCTCTCAATATTATTTATTGCAGGATAGGTAATTCAAACTTATAAGTTGTATAAAAACAACACATTTATATACTTATAAAATACACTGTATATATGTATGTAAGTTGTTCAGTTTGGATGAAATTCGCGTATAATTTCGATTTATTAGTGGAGTTGTAGCGTTATCATGTTTTTGGAGTTAATTAAAACAGTCGAACAATCTACATTATCTGCAATTGATATTTTGATTTGGTTTTCTTAATCAATCTGGGTACATTTGATCGTAGATTAATTCATGGAACATAAAATACCGTCCGAAAAACATAAATGACGATTAGTGGCTGTAAACTTACCCTGTCATGAGAGGGTGAGGCATGACTGATTTCCGTTTATATTTGTATTACTGGGACTTTTCTCGAATTGAAATGATGGGGTTTAACATCTTACTGTTCTGTTCCAACTCCACTAATGAGAGAGAGAGAGAGAAATGGGGTTTAACGTTCACTCGACACAAACTAGGTCATTTCGGGACTAACACATGGTTCAATTTTGCGGGATGGGGTCTTTAGCATTGGGAGGAAACCGGAGGACCCGGAGAAAACTCACTAGGTTGGACAGGCGACCCTACTCCTTGTCACGTACAACAGGGGAATCGAAACCCCGCCAGTAGACTCAATGACAGACCGTATGATAGAGCGGCCATCCACCCCCCCCCCTCCACTAATGAAGACGAGCATACGCCATCAGTGTGCTATGAGAGACATTTTGCACCCAGACAGTGGCGCTACGGCCTACTCTTATATGGATTTCCATCCGCCGACTTTACGTTGCCCTATGTCCGGCTCTTCGTCCTGCACCACTAACGAGGGGAACTACGCCGGAAAGTCCTGATATTTACTTTCTCGGTCAACGCAGTGTTCGAACATGGGACCCTCACGTTGGCTCCCTTTTTTCGAATCGTGATATCAGTTGCTGCTGCCAAATTCGTCAGCGAGATTTTGTATTGTTAAGGATTTTTATTTTAAATAACAAAGAGCTCCGTAGTCAGAACTATCAAGTAAAATAAGTTCACTTATCAGAATTTTGATGACTTCCACCGTAGGTAACGTCACGATATCAGTTTAAAAACATTAATCATGTACGCGCATAGTAGCGTTCTTGCTGATAGGAAATGGACGATTCGGTCACCTGCCATTTCCCTAATTAACCGTGTGTTTGTGCCTTAACTAGAATATGTAATACCACGTCACATATCTATAGTAAATTTGTTTATTATAGCCATGTATATAAAGTGATCACATGGTGTTTCATATGTATACGTCAGTCGGCCATTAATATTTTTTATCAGTTAAAGTTATTGATATATTAAAATATATTATTGATTTAGTCCATGGTGTATTTATGACAATGACACAAATCAAAATTATGTTGGCTTTATAACGTCTAAGTGTTAGTCCACTCACGGCGTTTTGTGATCATTTGCTTTGGTCAGGAATCGCCAAGTCTGCAAAAAAAAGAAGAATTAAATGAAATGAACCGGGGTTGAACGTCCTACCTGTTGACACCAACCGGGATAATGGTGGCGGGAATGCATCATACAGTGGGCTGCGTGATACGTTTTGTCCGGACAATAGCATATCCGCGTACACTTCATCGACATATCCAACTGTCAGGTATTCTTTGACGTGCACGACAACTTTTGCACATGACCTCTGAATGACTAGACCATGCTTCACCAGCGACAAGGGGAAGCCAGGCTGGAAAATCTTCACACCGTGACAAATTTATACAGCAGAAAAGAAATCATATCTGGAATCTGTTACGCTATGCAATATACCTCATATTACTCATTTAAGACGGTATTTCATTTCTTAATCGCATCAGTTAACTCCCAAGATTCTTCTAAAATATGTGTTATAAATTGCTAGTATAATATCAGGAATATATTTAATTCAACTAAACACAATTTTCAAAACCTCCCCCGTTTCTTTTCGCTGATAGAACTTTCTCCTTATATGCCAGAAATGTCTCAATCTATTAACATTTATTATGGTGACAAACAGATAACAATCTTATGTCTGGAGCACACTATGTGACGACATGGGCAATTTCGGTCGCCGACGATGAAAAATAAAAAAAAATACGCCTATTGTGCGCATCCGGTCGCTGACGTTTGATATATCTCAAGTCGTCGCTTCGTCAGTATAAAATCGTGTAATGTGCTCACCTCGGCGGCAAGTTAAGCAACAGCCAAGGAAAGAAAGTTACCTATTAAATCAATCACGTTTGGTTATTTTTCTCATGTGACCTAACCACACGCAAGGTCTCGCTAATTTTTTTTCTGTTGCATGTATAAACGGCTAGGGTAAATTAAATTAGGCCTAAATGACTTATTGACATTAATTAAACGCGTGAACTGTAAATTTTATTTTGTTAAACTGTTGTAAGAAATAAAACATGTCGAATAAATACTATAGGCCTAGTGGACTCTTCCGTCTATATAGCAATATACTCAATAATAATATAGTCCTAGGATTTATAGGTGGTAATTAGAATGGGCGTTGTTTTTCCCGTACCTATAGTCAGAAACGGGGATATCTCATCTCGGTTGTTTGGTAAGGAAGGGGTTGGCTAATTATTACTAGGATACTCTGTAGGCTATTTTCTACACATACAACAGTCGGCCAATATGAGCTCGTTACTTATAAACGTCTTGTGCCCGACCGGCGTTGTACTGATTAGACGACTCCGCCGGCGCCTCATCCCTATGTAGTGTGCTTACTCCACTTAAATCGCTTAAGTTGTCGCTTAGTGTGCGCCGGGATTTTTTAAAAAGTATTTTGAAATATGTATGCACTTGTTTCATATCTAAACAATCAACTCATGCATCTCTCGTTCATTTTTCAACGGATTTCATTTAAAATTTATGAACACCACTGTATTAGATAAAAATAAAATTGTATATTACAATAGATAACATATATTTAAGTAATAAGCTAAATTTATTATTAATAAGCAAGACTTTGTGTCCGTAAACCTTTTTTTATGGGGACAAAAACACAGGAAATACACAAATAAACTATCTTTAAAAAATGCACTGAAATAATACAGACTCCTACTCCCCGCGCCAATTATAGTAACCTATGTATATTATTGGTACGTTTAGTTTTATTGCTTATATTTATATACTTACTTACATCTTTGAGAATCTTACTTTTTATGGAACTATATCTGGATGTCGGGCTTGATAAATGTTTTCATTTGAGTGATCTAGAATGCTCTGGTATGTAGACTATTTGGCGCTGTGCATAAATTAAGAACTGAATAATGTTGTCTATTAAGATAAATATATGACTTACTAACATGTACAAGTTATATTAATTACCGTATATATCATGGACAACTGTTACAGCCATTTATATTAAACTTTCCTTTTCGTCTGGAATTGAATAGTGCTGAAACTGTTACAAACTGAGTTCACGAAATAAAAATGTTACAAATTGAGTTCATAAAAATGAAAGCAATAAGTGGAATTATTTTCATATTACAATCTACATTGAGTCCAATTTTATTATACTATGTAAGGTAGAGACATATATCAAAATTTTCTCAAAAAAGAATTCTGTCAACTGTAAGAGAAGGAAAATGTCAATTAAGTGAGAAAGGAAAACCGCGCCATTACTCATAGAATATTTACCTCCCTTTGGATCAAACATAAAATAATGCTAATACTTTTATCTCATACCAGAAATAGAACTCAAGTATTAAAAATAACGCCCTTGTCAAGTTAGGGTATTGTTCAGCTTAAATTATAGCCTTTAACCGATCCTTATTTAGCAATGGAATTTAGATCCAAAAAGAGTTCACCTAGATAAAACATGAACTATTAAAAATAGTATTATTACAAATACTGATTTCGATCTTACAATATATCTTACTCAAAAATGAAAGATGATCCCTATCTTAGATCTATCAAAAACTGGTTCTGATATATCGTCATATATAGTAATGAATATGCGTTAACTTGTCCAGAAAAATATAACAAGTATAAGAACGTTATAAGAACTTGGGTTGTCTTCTAGTACCTTTCAGAACAGGTATATTTATCAATAATCCGACTCATTTGTTTTATCTGTCACTTTGGCATTTGTGTTGTATCCATGTTTTGTTTGTTCTGTCTAACTTTAATGCACACTTTTTTCTGCATTGTGTAACAGATTTTAATTTTTACGTATTATATTATACCACTGTACCAATGCACATCCCTATTGTACTTTTTAACCTGTTTTGTTGTGAACATGCATGAACAGATCATTTAGTGCATAAATAATTAACTATGGCTGTTACGTCATATCAGATTTAGTTTTTGTTTATTATAAAGCGAATTTCCGGCATATACTACAATGAGATATGAATAATTAAATTTTGTTTGAATCTTAATTGATAATTGTATAAGCTTGTAAGGGAATTTTCCTATAAAAATTAAAATTATGATACAATATACGTCAACGAATATTCTTTCAGTCGGATGTTTCTCACAATAATCAAGTATGTTTTATAAAATTTTTGTTTTTGACGAACATAAAACACAGTCAATATTTGTCATTTACATAATAAGCATCTTTAAAGGATTAACAAACTTCTGTCGTCTTTTACGTCTTTTGTATTTATCATGTTATATTCATGTACTTTGCTCTGATAACTATTAATTATTCACAAATTATATAAAAATTATGTTTAACTGTTAAAACGAAGCTATTCTGGTCATGTTGCAATTAAAACTCAGGCTCTATGCCAACGTTATTTTTTTTTATTTATTGCGTATATAATAATTAAGTGTTAACAATAATATAAATTGTTTACAAGATACTAAACTGCCAACACATAAGTAATTAAAGTGTATATTAAACTTGTATTATACGCTCAATGAATTATTTTTTGTATCACGCAAATATTTGCAGTAATATCTTTCTTCTGTACATTTTCAAGTGTTCGTAAATAAAAAGTAACGGTAACCTGCTGTGAAATGACGTCTTCTACACTCAAAAGGTTTTTTCTGTACTTAGGCGTATTGCTTCGTATTGGTGACAGGGTGTGGTTCTTTCATTCGGTTTAACGAAAGGGACAGTTCTTCCCTGTTCGTGTGCAAGAGAGAGAGAGAGAGAGAGAGAGAGAGAGAGAGAAGAACTAATGTGTCGGTAAAATGTTATTATGCCCGCTCTAGTGTGTGCTGGGCATTACTCGTTTTGAGTTCAGGATATTATCTATATATTTTATGATTTATTATAAGTCCAAATGAATACACTGCCTTATATTAACTAACAAACGGTGGCTAGTCAATATTAGTTTTGCTGTCTGTACTTATTTTGGACAGTTTAAAATGAGATATATTGTAACGACTGTAAGTATTGGTTATAATATATTATATCAATTAATAATAATAAAGTATCAAAAAGAAAATCAGGAATTAAAAAATATTAAAAACTTGCAATTTATTTATAGTTAATATTATTTATGGATATTTTGTCGTTCATAATTTAAAATCAATATGTTTCCACCACTATAAATTTTGATGAAAAAATACCTTAAAGGGCCAATCCCGATAATATTTTGGAGAATAAAACTGCTTAATTTTGTGTTAAAATCCCTTAAAATCTTCTACCTAAGAGCCGAGCAACTAACTCAATATTTGTCATACGTTTTCAAACAACTTAAACCCGCCAGTCTTCATCTGGAAATGGAGACCAGTGTCCAAACTGTATTATACGGTGTCTGGATAAAACCAGACTTTTATTTTATAAAAATAATGTGTAGGTGAAATTTACCCTTCGTTATGAAGTACAGCACACGGGTCATTCACTGTATATACCTGTAAAGAAACGGGAATCGATTATCAGGTCGCCCAACGAAAAAATTGACCCGAAATCTTAAAAGGTTTACGTGTCCGGATAAGCATTTTTGACTTTCCCATCCAAACGACTCAATGTTTTGAGCTGAAATTTTGAGACAAGGTAAATACACCATTTCTCTATATTTGGGTGCTTAAATTTCATACGTACTCAGACTTTTATTTTTGAGACTCTGTTCAAATCGGGATAGTCTCTTTAAGTTAACCTATTAGCAATATTTAACCTATTAGCAATAAATAACATCATGATAAAATTGCTTACCCGCAAGAAAGTTGTAACTAAATTTTAACAACCTTAGCAACCTAAATCCTGAACCAGTTCTAACCCAGTAATAAGTTGATTTAAAAATTGACATTAAATAGTAAACTGAAAAACAGATTTTTAAGTCGGGCTTACTATTATTTAATTTTGGTTTGACACAGCGGAAGTGGCGTCCTGTGTTATTAAAGACACTTGCTTTTTTTCTATTTAAAAATTTACTAAACTTCCTTGAAACAGGGCATCGAATACCCCAAAGGGAGTGAACTTTAGGTTTCTTGTGACTTGTATCCGATTTAATGGCAAAAAAAAGCTGTGGTTGTTGGGATGATTGGGTAGAAAATCGCAGATATAATGAATAACGATTGTTGTTACGCGTTACCAATCGCTTTATGATAATTGCGCCCACAAACAGTGGGGATTCCCCTTAATTACTGAATTAACGTACTACAATAATCCTTACTGGGTGAAGTTAAAACACGTAATGTTTGTAGGAGGTTTTTCCGTCGTACTTGTAGGAAAATAGTGTAAAATATGAATGATAAACTATCCCAAATGCCTACGGAGATTCCGGTGGTTAATCGAAGGATTAAAATCCTAATTCTAATTTAATTCGCCAAATAATGATTGACATCTACGTGAAAACCCGGTTAAACACTTCCTTGGGATGATTTTAGGTGGTTATAACTTTTTCTTATATTAAATGGAGTGGGTTTAATGTTTCAACCCAATATTGTGTCAACCTTCAGATTAATATAGGGTAATATTCATTTCATCTGTGTAATGCCAAGGGGAATAAGGACAAATCAGGCGTTTCCGCTTACTCTGAATCGAATTCCAACTACCTAGGTTTTTTGTACCTACATGCCAATATGTATATAGGTGGAACTAGAATTTTTCGTCTCATTCCAATAACTAGGTACATTTTACTTGAAAAAATGAGAACCGGAACATTTAGGTCAGTATACCGTGAGGCTGCAGTAAGTGAGGTTCTGTTATATTAATTTGTAAATTAATAATGTAAATGACAAACATTCCAAAGAGAAATAAACGATTTTTCAACTGAGAGCTTAAAGCTAGTAAAACGAGAATACATACAGCGTGGTTTCAAAAAGATGAAATATAGAAACACGTTGATAACTGAATCAAAGAAAGAATAAAATCTTTTGAAGAATCAAGCGTCCAATGTGCTAATAAAGGGACACACCTTGCTGGATTCAGAAATGAAAAAGTTTACACATGTAATCCGTACCTTTGTTTAAATAAAATCTACCACCCATCTAATGTAATATGCGAAATCTCAAAGACTCGTAGTTTTGCTTCCATGAAATAGATGTTCGCAACGATCAGACGAAAAACATAATTTGTGTATACATGTATATGCTTTGTTTAAAGAAGTCCGAGAGTTTTATTAAAAATAAAATGGGCGAAACACATTATAGTTTTCTACAAAAAGTTTAGATTTTTTTTTTTATTAATATATTAGTTCATATGTTAGGTTGATACACGGAAATGACAAATGGTTTTAAATAACCAACAATTGTGTGTTGCAACTGCCGTTAATTATAGAGTATATAAAGCCGTTTGTTTGGTCAATTGTCATATACATACATAGATATATATTTTCCATCGTTATAACATATGAAGACACGAAAAAGTCTTTTACTTGATAACATATTTGGCAGCTTCTGGCATCTCGGTCATTTCAAGTTTAATTACTCGGTAGGCCACGCTCATTCATATTTTTTTTTTGAAGACGACACTGAAGATGACGTACTAACAAAGTTTTGTCATTTGACAGTATGAGACTTATATTAAGGAAATTATAGCGATACTGGCTCATTGGATAGAAAACGATGGAGCACGTGGTAGTTTGGTGTGAGGGGAGCTGTGAGCAAAGGAGTATCTTGACTACAATATGGTGATTGCATAAGCTGGTGGATATTCTGACTTAACATCACAATTTAATTCTTTCGTTGTGAACAAAAATTTTTGGATTTTAGATGGCGTCTATTTCCAGTGACATTTATCCAAGTTGTTTCGCCATTCCTTTCAAGTAAAGTGGAAATTTTATGCTAACCAAAAACAGTTGAGGGTAAAGCCTTATATAGATAAGGAGACAATTATTGAATTTTATAAAAGTAAATATATCGTCGCTAACGGTTTAATTTAACCGTACATCAAAGACAGTATTCGTAAATGATGATCTAAGACAAAAACAATTCAATTTGGCTTACGTAAAAGTTGTACTTGGAAAAAAAATAAGTCTTTAATTTTTTTTCTAAATTATATTTGCATCTCCGGTAATGGTCGCTGCAAAATTTATTATTAGTACAACGAATGGATAGGCTATTTACTAATCTACGTCAATCTGTTTACATACCACATCATTGATTCCTTGGTTTAGTTATGGGTTTATACGCTAAAAATTGTGAACTAGCGCATGAGGGAGATGTGACAAATTTTGCCAAAAAGAAGAAGTCCCCACTCAGAAGGTAAAAAATCTTATATTTATTATAATGATATGTAATTATTATCACAAACCAATGATTAGTGAAATTTTGAATTCAGATGGGAAGCCGAGGTGGCTCAGTGAATAAGTTACTGGCTCGGGGTTTTCCGGCGTGCCCCCCCCCCCCCCCCGACCCTGTCAGTGGTGCAGGACGAAAGGTCTGACAATGTCGGCTGTCTATTCTTCCAGATCGAACGACAAACAGAGCCCGTAAAGGAACCCTTGACAGCTGGAATTCAATAGGCCGTAGTGCCGGTGTCCGGGCAAAAGTCACCTCATAGCGCACTGCATGATATACGCCCGTCTTCTTTAACACAACCGGTACATACAAGTAGGGTGTTAAACCCCATATCATTTCATTTTGAATTCAGGGGATTTAGTTCAAAAAGGGTTTGAAGTCTATATTTTGAATCAGATCTATATAATTTTGTTGGTTTTAGTTGTTAGTAATCTTCTATTAAAGTCTTAGGCTGGGTTTTTTATTCATATGTGTTCTATGCTATCAAAATCAGTATCCAGTCTTGAAGTTTTCGAGCATAGTACGTTGATTAATGGATTTCATTGTAACATTTGTTATGATATGTGAATTGTGTGGTGAGAAAATATTCTATGATGTATTGATGTATTGCTCAAAATATTACTGTGTTCTATCATCTCTCTTTTATTGATGATTCGTGTGTGTGAAAGAAATAGCGTTATTTAACGTCCGCGCAAATCATTTTATTTTAATCATTTAAAGGCAACAACCTCAAAATATTTGAGAAACTATGAAATATCGCATTATGTAAAGCAATACATCATCGACTAGAAAGGATGATGATTATGAATTTAAACCATCTGCCAAAACTAGGCTGACATATTCTCTCTTGTTTGACAGTGACAGATCCTAATTGTTGTATTCCGGGATAACGCTCACAGTTTCTTTGAACTCGTATACTAATTTTAATACCATAACTGAGATACCATTTGTAAATGTTATTTTGCGTTTTAAATGAAAATATTACCATACATTGTATTTTGCGAAATAATCAATGTAAATGTATACACATCCTGGCGACTTATGCCTAGCACTAACCATGTAATTTATTGTTAATATAATATAATTTTAAGTATTCTTAACCACCAAAAAGGTGGACATATTTTACGCTTTTGTTCAGACTGCTATTTTATAATTGACATTTTAGATAATTTGATTATTTATCTAACTGTAAATTTCGATAATGACGCTGTTTAGAATGTGCATGCTATTCGTTAATTATATATGAACTCAAATAAAACATTAAGATTAAAAATTTTAAATGAAGAAAATATTATTTGACTTTATCTAGTTTCGTCGTTCACCGGGAATATAAAAACAAAATTTCTTTAAATGTACACGAAACTAGTCATTTGTGTAGAATAGAAATGTTGCCAACACTCATTAAATCAGGGGCTAAGTGAGAGGGACGCAATGACGAATTTTGCGTCATGGTTTTAAGTTTCTGCGTCCCCTTGAGTTTTTGTGCCCCTCGCAAATGGCAAAAAATCACGCAGTTTCTGCGGTTTTCAACATATACCGTGGGTCAGATATGCTACAAATCGATCGACTCTAGCATGTTCGTCACAGCCCAATATTACCCGGCGGTACTGCCCCCCACCGCCGCATACACATATCAATATTGTTTTTTGGGGGGGCCGGAAGGGATCTTGTTGCTCATGGATGACGCCCCTAAATTGACTCCGATACTCTCTCGCCATCACTTGAAAACTTAAACCCCTCTATTCGGAGGTCTGAGCATCCACATCCACACAACAAAATAAGCTGATACAAACATGAATCGAAAAATCTGTTCAGATAATAAAGGTTATACTTTGGATGCCCCACATTATTCACGTGTCATCTGGCAATGGAATTGTTGTTAAGGCGTCTGCAAATTGCTGGAATATAATTTGCTCTGAGGTGTATTTTTGTCACATAATATATTTGAAAAGGGTAGAGATGACACCGCACCCTTTGACTTAGCTTGTAAATATATTTTGACATTTCTTTATCTAGGTGCAAAATATTTATTTTTAAACATTTTGTTTACATTTTGCAAATTCGTGGGATCACGACCTTGTTATTTAGACTACATGGTCCGTACACCATTATGATAATTATTTCATATTGGCTTTGTAATTATTACGGGAGCTAAGCTGTTGTTCGTTGTAGACCTCACATTTGTTGCCAACTCAATAGAAAGAGTCGTTTGTGCATATATGAAATGAGTGGGTTTTCCCCTGACTTAGCAAGTATATGCAGAATGAAAACAGCAACAAGTTCAACAAAGTCGCCTCTTTTACTGGCATTTTGCATAAAGCTAATCAATAGTGTTGTAGCCGTTAATGTAATTCGTACAATAACATGTTGCATCTATGTTTTTCCTTCTTACATGACATTAGTTTACTGCTGCAGTGTCCATAAACACATGCCTCATCATCGTCATCACCATCTTCGTCATCCCTAGTAATATAATAAACGTCACAGCTAGTATAAGTGTTATGGCGATCACCTTTGATGTTATTTCATCATTATTGCTGGTATTTAGTGCTTATTTACGACTGGAAACAACTAGCAGACAAGAAGACGATATATAGGGCCATTTCGCCTACTCTTTACCGAATTCAATCTTTCCAGCTGGAAGATCGACACGGAGTTGCCATTAAGACATCCGGTTCCAGTACACTCTTGACAATAATATATTTGTAAAAGCGATGACAAAAAATAAACAGTATTCTATTCTGATAGAAAGGAAGTTTTATTACAGGAGGCTGTTAAATTGTGTAAAATAAAAAACTGAATCGTGTCCAAGTTTTTAAAAGAAAGAATGCATTAAATCATCCATATGTCACGAAATGCCTTCCATAAGAATCACACAAATTTCAAGTTGACGGTTATGTTAGTCTTATGAAACAAGTTGTTAAAAGCAGATTAATGTTACATTTTCCAGGTGATTGATTTGTCTGGGTATGTATATGATTGATTGTTTATGGTGACAGAAAGTCGCGGCTCTTCATTTTCAAAATATCGCTGAATACTCAGAAAAACTAGGATTCAATATCATTGGCATTGCTTACGACAGCTACTTTTTCTCTGTTAAGAATGTAATAAGTTATAACGCGTTTGACAATGTCTATACATGGTCGTATTCAGAGTACTTACTTTACCGGAAGTTACTTGATTTGGCAGCTAAATACTCAGAAAAGCTAGGGTTCTATATCGTTGTCCCACTAAAGAGGAAATCCCGTGGTCGATAGCTAGTATGGTTTAGCCTTGTCAGCGGTACAAGGTGGGGTGCTGGCAAGGAAAGGCGCACAGTTTTTTGGATGGGACGAACAATGGAGGGTCCATACATATCACTGACAGTACTTTAGAAACCCTCTTACAGTTAGAAACAAAATAAGAGTAAGCACCAACACAAATTGCAAAACTTCCCCCATAGAGCACTTTATGGCATGCATATATCCGTATTTATTAGCCTGGTTCATATAGAAACGTAAGACGTTAAACCCCATTTCAGTTTGAATATCTCAATTCTAACACTTCCTGGTTGTTTGTTAATATCAATACTATTGAACTAATATATGACATTCAAACATTATATGTCATGGACTTAATTCAATTGGCTCCTTGATATAATTAAATTTAACTTTGAAATGTTTCACCAAAGTATAACTTAATAGGAAGCGGGACCCTGTGGAATTACAGTACCTGGATAGAGCTTTGCGATACAGCTTTAAGGTTTTTGAAAACATTCAAACAAATGATTTATTGTCGAATAGATGATAATCGTCGTTGTACATGATCAAGGGTGTAGAAACATTTAATTGATTACTGAATAGAAAGATAGTGACTGTCTTTCTACTGTTTAACGTATAACGACCAAGCCTCTGTTCTATATATGATTGTAAAAAGGCATTAAAAAAATTAGTTCATTTCCCGCATTAAATCTGTTGTATATTTTCTTAAAGTAAAGCTATGTATATTATTAGTTTTTTATAAGTAATGATTGAAATACCAAATGAATTCCGTTTTCAAATAATAACACGTTAAAGCACGTAAATGACAATCTTTTTTTAATTCTGAAATCTTCTGATCCCTCAATTAAAGGGGTAAAAACAAGTTTATGTTTTACGTCAGTTTTCTTAACCATGTATTTGCGGTCTCCGAGACACGTTCAACTTGACTTCTCAGTCAAACAGTCCGTTTTTCTCACTCCCATTATCTCCAGTGGCTAAAGTGCGTGTTTTTTCTGACTTTGGTTAATGTATATGGATTAAAAATGTTGTATACCATAGATATGTGAACATCTTCATACCTACATAAGTATATTAATATATATGTCAACGTATATAATGCATGGTGTCTTTATTAAAGTTACCTACATGTGGTCTGCCATTAGACATAATTAGATCAATGCATGCTATTACAGACTTTTGGCAAGTGGAATTTTTCCAATCCGTATCGTCACATGATACGTTGCTTCAATGTAGTTTTAGAGTTTTGGCAGATTTTCGCGCCGCGTACGTATGGGTAGCGGAAGTGAGCTTAGTTCTATTACAGCATGATGACAGTTATCTACCAAGATCAACATCAGTACAAGTCAGGTGCCTAGACTACAAATTCCCGAGGGAGTAAAGTCGCTCGAAAGTCGCTCAACTATTTAAAATTTAAAAAAAAAATAGTATCGAATCTTATTTAAAATCTTGTATGTGCACGCCAATGTGTACACAGGTGCTTGTGTCTTTATCCCGTCTACACAACTAGACACTGTTCTTATCCAGCCCCTTCGTCCTGCACTACCTACAGGGAGAAACCACTCTACAAAATACATGGGAACTCTCTTGGGCAACACCAGGATCAGTGTGCATAATCATACTGTGTATTGATTGAGGAACATGGCCGACAACCCGATATCACGACATTTTAAACCGACATTACTACGCGATATTACAACATTTTTAATGTCGTGGTGTCGGGTAATGTCGTATTGTCGGGTTAAAATGTCGTCGGGTTGTTGGGTTGTCGCGGTGTCGGGTTAAAATTTCGTGATATCGTGTTGTCGTGTTGTCGCCTTATGAAGGGCGACATCACGACACCACAACATGATACCAACTATTAGATACACGACATTAATACTGAAGCGGGCCAGACCGCTAAACAGGCATGTATAAAAGACACAGAACAAGTTATTATTGTCGTTGGCAAACATAGTATTTTGGTTCTAGGAGAGAAAGGTTCTTCAGTACTAGCTAACAGAATATTTGCCGTTAAGGTAGATTTATCAATGACACTGGCACGGGGCTTACCCTTGTTACAGTATTATAAACATAGACCTGTCTCATTAGTCGAGAAATTGTTAATTAATTAACTGAAGCCCCCCGACAACTTACATACAAATCTAAGACATAATGTACATGTAGACCAGAGTGTGGCTTTTCCGGTGTTATTATTAATGGGACAGCTTTACAAATAAAATTACCATATTAAATCATAGAGTGTTTTCTCCATTCTACATGGGCATCTAGCTTCAATAAATTGACATGAAAAATGTATATAGAAGAAATAGGTAGACATGTTGTTTAACACGGTTACAAAAACAAACCAAAGAGTGCGCTAATAGCTTGTTATCAGTAGGAATGTATATAATTTCGTAATGACTACTAAGAAACCGACGCCTTTTAGTTGCAAGAAGTAAGAATAAAATCACATTCTTAGTTAGTCTCTTGGATGGATTGTGTTTGCTTTTTTTCCTGGACAGATTCTTAACTCTTAACTCCTAAACCATATTGTCTTTATAACGGGTAATTGCTAACGAATGATCAGTTTTACACGGACCTTTATCAGTGGAGTGAACAGATTTACAAGGAATCTACCTGGATATACCCACAATATCTTACAATTCTTTATATTTTATGTCTTTCAGGTTCAGAAAACGACTCTCTATTCTTCTACATACCCACGTAGCTCTTATTTTAGTATGTATCCTGGCAGCTATGGATTCGTCTTGTGTCATTGGACAAATTATCTGCGATATTCTAATTATGAAAGGTACGTTTAATTGCCTTATAGGAGTATGAAAGAATTATACTATACATAATTACCTGATATGAACAGATAGGTCTAATAATAAGTAACACTTGAAAGTGGTCAGGTTTTGGCTTACTAGGATTCCAATATAAAGATGTGTCCATTTTAGATTTCCACAATCATTTTTGGACATTTTGAAACCTCAAAACACCCACTTCACGTCCAATAATTTGGCATAATGTCAATACGTTTTTGGGTTGTTTTTTTTAGAGTAGACATATTGTATATTGTCCGGAAGAATGAAACGATTCATGAATTTTGTTTTGTTATCCATAGAACTGTGTTGTGTTATAAATGATTTGTGAATTGCAGTTTTTAAAACAAAATATTTAAGTGGGGTTTGTGGAATCTGACAGTTTGTGGTTTGAACTAGAATGGTTTAAATGAATGGTGGATGCTAGAACACCTTTTCATCCAACATTTACCAACACGCATCCCCGTGCTTAATTCTGCCTGAAAAAGATTACAGTTCTTATTTCCTAATAATGGCAAATTCTGATCTTAAGGTTAATTTGTGATGGAAATGTCACTGTTTCAATAAGAAAATTGCAACGACTCTCTATTAGTGCATAACCAAATGATCCCGTGCTATCTTTTCACTTCTGTTACTGATTTTGTTTTGTTTTGTTTTTTATTCCAGAAAAATTGCATGAATGGGAAGTTTTGGATTATGAGAAACTGTCACCGATTCTAGTAAAAGAGATACCGCGGCTTAATACGAGTGCGTATGAGCCCGGGAAAAAGAATCTGAAAAATTTCTACGAAATCTTGTCTGCAGATCAACATTTTAGTCCCCGTGGCGAATCTGCTTCTCATAGACTTGAGGCGTCCCACAAGCCTACTTCTCACCAGCACAGCCATTTACCCAAGACGGAAGATCCCATAACGTCACCGCCTCCTGATACTAATGGAAACCACAATAGTACTTCAAATGAAAAACGGAAGAAACGGTCACTGCATACGGTCGAACTGCATGCTGCTGGCGCAGACGAGGAGGATCACGGTATCCTACATGAGTTAAACCATACATTCCATCTTGGTAGTATGGTAATCCTCTCAATTCTGCTGCTTGAAGTGAGTCTAGTTATCCTATACCTCTTTGATTCGGGTGCTCCAAACTGTTATTTCGATTAGTAAGAAAGCTAACCCAATTAGATTAATTTTTTAGTTTAGAAGATTAAGCGAAAGTCGACTTGTTTAATAATTTAATGAGTAATTTTTGGCTTACGGTGTCTACATTTGAACACAAAATCTGTTACATGTCAGCAACTGTCATTATCTATGTACGAAACAATTGATTACATATTATACGTGAATCCAAAATGAGTATTATTTTGTATGTTTCCAGACGCTGTTGAAAACGTTTGCTATGGGACGAAAAATACTCATGCATAAATTAGAGGTAAGTACACGCCTTACTTAGTTCAATAAACATACTAACCACCACCATGTTATTTGTCAAAATTCAAACCAGAATAAAGGAGCAGCCCCAGATTTTATAATGGATCAATTCAGGTGTATTAGATTAAGATTGGATTATGGTTGTGTTTTACTGGAGTTATATTTTAGGTCTTAACCATATTGTGTTAGATTAGGGTTAAACCTGTTTTAACACTAGTGTGGCATTAACAACATCCGTGTTACACAAATTTAACTTCTACAACTGCTACTGTTCAAACTGAATGGAGTATTGACCTATGTGACTTACTGGGCGGTTAGGGAATGATTACAAATAAGGTTTGAAGTATCAGATCGATACCTTTTAATCCATTGCAAACTATAATATTGACAAATGAATATCAGTCCAAAAGTATTCGATTCGTTGAATATTTATAAAGGTATAATGAATATAAATTTTGTCAACATTCGACATCTTTTGCAGACCTTATAAAAGGGATATCATCAAAATAATCCAGCGCATGCTATAATTTTATCTAAAATCTGTTGATGGACCTCCTTTTAATCCAAGCTGGTGGATTATCTTCATTATATAATCAATCTGCGTACATATTACCGCCGGTTAAGCAGTTAAAAATTGTCCAAAATAAGCACACGCTCACTACGACAAGCGTACAGACCGGGTTATCTACCTAGATTATGCTGTGGCTATAGACAAAGTAAAATAAAACTGGCCTCTAAGAAATCACCACAGAGCTTCTGGTTGCATGTATGCTAAGAGGGTGTTTCTAAGAGTCAAAATTCATTTTGGACGGCTTCTTTAATACAGTGATGTCAGGAATGCTATCTATACTTGATCGATGACGCCGATTTGATTCAGTTTCACACTGAACTCAAAGTTAAAATACTGAAGGGCCCTTAAACACGTGCCTTAAATCAAGTGATATACTAGTAGGAATTTTATATCTTAAAGTGGAATATACACATTATATGTATATAAAACTCTTTACCTATCTTTAAAACAAATAACCAATCAAGTGCCGCCATGAATCTATATAACATATTTATTGCAAATCACACATTATGATTTACGAATTACATTATATACAAACTTTTATAATTTCTATACTGCAGTAATTGACAGGTTTAAGTATACGTTATTATGATGAATGTGAAACGTATACTTTACGTATTGGTACGACAAAAATATATATTTGAACTCTTAACAAATAACTAGGTTTCTTTACATTAACGTTACAGTTTATTGCACAGCGATTCGCCAATTTGAACACATATTAAATATAGCCGCCTCAGTGACGCCAAAACAGTATAATATTTTGATTTATATTCAACTTTTAGGACACGATGTCTAATAAAAAAGAGAAAAAAAATCTCTTTGCTTTAATGTCTTTGAAGAATGTCGTGATTCTATTTTTACATTAACAAATTGTTTGCAAAAAAAGCAGAGACGATTCTTTCTTTTTGTTTCAGTCATTGTAATGTGTTTTCTAAGAGAATGTTTAATTGATTCGTGTAGTCTGTGATATTTGTGTTTGGTCCCTCTACAAATATGACTTCATTACTTTTATTAACAACTTATTATACATGTAGTCTATAGTTTAAGTTTAAATATTCTTTTTTTCTTTTAATTTTAAATGCTTTCTGTGGATCTTAAAAGATGTTGCCGTAATTTGATGAACAAAAGCGAAAGTGAAATAAAACCCACAACATTTGCATAATTGATTTTACTTTATAATATGACCACCAAAATTAATTGAGCAATGTTTCCTCCTTTCGCGTGTTTTCTGGATTGCCTATGATTTGAATTTTATTCCAAGATTCATTTTTCTTGGATTGTCATCTACATATATTTCTAATATACCAATTGTTTGACATTCTTCTCGCCTTTCATATACCCTTTAAGATTTCCTGTAATAGTGGAAATAAATCAGAATTAATCGACCATTGTCCATTTTGTTTTATCTTTGAGTTATTGTATACAACTTACACATCAAGAAGGTAAAAATTCTAGAAGTTTCTAAATTTAGCTGCTCTTGAACGTTTTATGATAAGTAAAACATCATAAACATATTGTCTTTTTTCTTCTCCTTCAGGTGTTTGATGCATTTGTTGTTACGGTGTCATGGTGTCTTGATATAGCATTTTGGGAAGGTATTTGGGAGCATCCTGGTACTGAAGCTGCTACGATTCTTATTTTTATTTTACCTTGGAGAGTCGTCAGGATTGTTAACAGTAAGTCACATAATCCTTCCAGATTTATTGTTATCTTAACTTATGTCATAGATGATAAATGGTGTATATTTATATCAACATAAACACGGTTATAACGACCTTCAGTGTCACCACAGACATATACATATATCTTACTTAAAAAATTTGTTTCGAAGAAATAACCACCAAAACTGTGTTATATTAAACGTCAATTACTCAATTTATCACGTGTCAAATAATGTGAATGTTTATTGATAACGTTCTTTGTTTTGTTGGGTTTTTTTTTACGAAAAAACAAAAGTTGAACAGAAGAAGTTTTAAGGATACAAACTTTTAAAAATTTTACTTATTTTCTAATTGTACGTTTTCAGGTTTCGTATTAGTTATTCAAGAAAAAGATAACGTACAGTTAAAGATTATAAAACAAAGACTGAGATTAAATTTTAAGAAAACAAAAGAAATCAGAGATAAATTAAATACATACAGGGTAAGTTATATATATATATATATATGCTTTGACAATCAATATCCTCAATATGTAAGAAGGGATTGTCGGAATGATATTCTTTTTCCTACTGTACATCTGTTAGGGAAGAGTCTTTTAATGTATCCTCCATTATGAAGGGTAAAATAAATTGCTGTAGGACCTGAAAGTAGATGGACTTAATCCTTGTGCGACTAATGCACACACTCTAAAACAACGACCGAGTACTGACTGACACTCAGTTATTAACTAGTTATTTTATTTTACTGAGGGCTCCTTAGACTGTTTGAGCCTATACTTGGTGCTAGTCCATTAGTCATACAGATGAAATAAAAACAAACAACTACAGTTAAATGTTATGGATGGAATAAACTAGCTAATACACACGCAGAAATGTAGCTTTAAACTTTAATTAATGTATTAAAATTCAAATTATTCCACACAGTTTCTTTAGAAGAGTTTTGAATTACTTTTTTTTTGCTTTTCTTTTACAGACTGAAAGTAAACAGTTACAAGGTTTATGTAGAAAACATGGTGCCAGTGAAAATGAAATCAGTGCTTGTGGTCCCGGAGGTAAATATATCTAAATGCATATTTAAAATCTGAAACCAATAAGATACAGCATACAGTTTGAAATTGCTGCACCGAATGCCGTACATGGGACTGGAATTATATTGACAAATCACTTGTCAAATCCATTTTGTATTTGTGCCATTTGCCCAAGTGATGACTATTTGCACCTGAAGTTTATCCATGCCACAAGTTATTTCTTTAACAAATGTGTCTTTCTAGCAGTATGTTGCGTTCATAAACCATTTAACTATGTCCACTTCTACGCATTTTAAACCATGTTGTATTTTAGCATGAATACGAATAACTTTCAGTGTCATTATACGATTGTTTTACAGGTCGACGACGAAGAAGTAGTGTCATGCCAGCATTAGATACCTTAGCATCTATAGCATTGGTTGGGGCAATAGGAAATCATCCAAGTTTAACTTTGAGTGATTCCTCCGACGAGGACGATGAACCACTCAAATACGATTTGTCCAGAGAAGTATCGCTGGATCATTCCATAGCGTCTTTCGCCACCGCCACCAGTATCGACAGTTCGCCCAGAAAGCTTTCAGCAGTGGATAGCAATGGTTTAGATAATCCTATATTTGTGGATGATGAACGGTTAAAAAAATTACAAGCTCTGAGGACGCAGTCCATGCCCCCGGTAAATTTATTTTTTCATTTTACTTTCCATATACCCGTATTAGAGTTATTTCGTGAAATAGAGAGTTGAGCGTCCACTCGACACAAACTAGGTCATTTCGGAAATAACACATGGTTCAATTTTATTTCCATAATTCGCTTGCGCGTAGGGGTCTTTAGCAGTGGAAGGAAACCCAGAAACCCAACGAGGTTGGACAGGCGACCCTATCTCCTTGTCACATTCAACCGGGGAATCGAAACCACGCCAGTTAACGCATTGACAGACCTTATGGCGCAACGCGCAAGCGCTAACCATTCGGCCATCCAACTCCTCTAGCTAGGAATGAAACACAAAACAATGAATAATACTAATAGAAATAATGATACCGGTCTTGACGGTGATCATCTTAGGAATGACGATAGTCTATCAGCTGACGTCATGAGTTATGACGTCAAAAATTTTAACAATAATAAGGGCAATAATCCGAATAGAATTTCGGAAAACGATAAAAATTAAAATATAACGTACTTCGCAATGAGTGTCAATTGGTTTTCACGAATTTGTGCACAGTATATTTATGATTTTTATCGCTTTGTTTTGCAGGAACTTACTAGGTTATGATCAACTCTGATGGAAAGGTAGCATCTATAACGATCTTACATTAGGTTACCATACTTATTCTAGTTAATTTATTTTGATTTGAATGATAGTCACCAGATTATGATTTAAGCCGTGGTTGATCAAAGGGTCAACATTAACATACGGCGCACAGGCGGGGTAAAACAAATAATGCCATTTTGAACTTCCAGAAATAGGGCTGCCTTAATGTTATTTCCTTATAATGACCCCGGTCGGTTATTATTTATTTAGTCAGGCTGACGTATGTTTATTTCGATTATGAAACTGAAGCTTGTCGATAAGCTGATCGTCTTTACATACATTTAACCATGTGTCTTGTTGTGTTGTTTAAGATATACAGACAAACGTAGATTATGGCACAAACTAAAATCTGTCGAAGGGAGAATTTAGCTGATTATTGTTATATAATGCTTGTATGTGCCTTTAGTAGTAATATCTTTTAATCAGGGAGTATTTAAATAAATATCAAAAGAAAAGAAAAATATGGCTAATCACCTGCATTGCTGAAACAAGAACAGAATAAAACATTGCCAGATTTCTCAGTTTTCAATTGATCTTTTTTTTCTTCAAATATTGGATGGATTGTGGATCGAGCATAATAATGTTAGCCTTTGAACACTTTTCATTTGATATTTTATTTTTTTATTGTGATATAGAAATTGGTTCTATCATAAGTCTTCCATTGTTTTGTATATATGTATTCATTTGTTAGCTTTTTATTATATTGTACATTATCATTGTGTATCATACATACGTCGTGTAGTTTTGTAAATATATATAATTGTTTTTGATTGTGCTGTCATTTTAAAATTATTTTATTTATTTTTCACTAAAAATGTAAGTTTAAATGCCATACATTATACAAATGAGACTTTGTGCCTTATTATGTAAATTGTTAAATGGTCTCGAAAGCGTCGGCGGGCCCGGGGCCAAAAGCAGACACCCGCCCTTTATTTATTTTGTAAAATATCCCATGGACCTTCAAAAATTTAACACTATCATTTTGTAAAACAAGAAAAAGCCTAAATATCTGTTAATTTATTTGGATAATTCATTGGAGTTTTAAATCTAAAGAAACTCTCTAACTTTGGAAATCAATTTATTTTTATTTTTTACCGATCGATTTTTGTCCCTCTAAGGGACAAACGAAAACTGACGACCACCCCAACTACCCATTGACTTCAGTTCAAATTAAAATATAGCGTAACTTTGGGAATCAATTTATTTTTATTCTTTATCTATCGATTTTTGTGTCTCTAAGGGAAAAACGAAAACTGAGCACCACCCGAACTACTAATGACTCAGTGAGCTTGCATAATTCTTAGTCAATCAATCTAAAAGTGACAGGTCAAATACTCTTTGTGATTGTTCAAAACCCGATTTGACATAGCTACGATAACCATTAAAGAAACAGCAACGACATTCCCTTATATACCGGTATTGTAATAAAGGCCTTTATGTTCTTTTGGCTTTTGGAAGTTGTCGTATCCATAATTTTAATTCATATAGAAATGATTTTGTAGCTGTTGCCATCATGTGAAGCTTAATATTTTATATATTTGCGAGATTGTATGTGCATCTAACTACAGATGTACAGATGTGAATTAGGATTTATTTCCTCAAACCTAATCTGCACATACCGACGTAAAAATAGGATGTATTTTAAAAGGTCTTAAATGTAACACATGTAAGCTAATTTCCATAATTTAAAAATAAAACAATAGATATTATAACACAAGTTAATCCAGATTATTACAATACTGTTTGTCATACTCTGTAATTAATTATAACCTGTAAATATTGAAAACATAATAACTGCTTAAATAACGAAACGGAATTAAAACATAGTAACTCAAAATCAAGAAGTGAAAACCTAATAATTAAGTGAAATTTGCCAAACATGAATATGTTCAAGTGTGAACATCAAATGTTAGATAAAGATAAACCATCTGTCAAATTATTTCTTCTTTAGACATATTTATGTGTGCATGTTTGATTTGTTCAATGTTTTCGAATATACATATTGTTATACTCTTTTATGTTTTGAATAAACAGAACATCTTGCTACAAAAGGATTCAAGTATATTTTACCTTAAAGGCACTTAACCTCTTTGATTTAGGTTGAAATAATGTTTTAATTTGGAATATACAGGTCACAATTCTATGGAATACAATTACTGCTTATTACTGAGTGACGTTTCGCCTAGGCTTCTCAAGTCATTATCAAGCAATGATAAAATATGAAAATATAACAAGACAATATATACATTTACACAACAATACTTGGTTAATGCTGACCAACCAGAGATACCTTTTAATTACATGTACCCAAACAAGACCTAACTTAGTTAGGGATTATTAAAGTTTAATGCTAGTAACAACATTCAATACGGCATGTAGATCACTTTGGCTGGAATTAACACAAGATTAAGCTTGTTCGAACACAAAATAAGTTGTAACTTGTCAAAAGATATAAAATTTTAAACGGAAACAGATCGTCATGCCACAAAACAAATGAAACCAACTACGTGTATTACATTTTTAACCTAAATCATAGAGGTCTAGTGATTGTACTCATTTCTCATTGCAATGTAATTACTAGAATACCAAGAATTATGGATGAAATGAATAGACGCCGTTTTTTTTTTCATTAGTCGTTAATTTGAATACGGTCATTTATTAGATAAGACGACTTTTGTTTATACATCGATTGTTTAACCATTATTCACTGTTATATCATGTTCATTGTAGATTGTTACGTACATCATTTAAATATCTGTACATTGTAGTATATTTTATTGAACGATTTGATTAAATGAAAAATGAAAATGAATAACTTGTCATTAACAAAAAGAGTTTCCACTTTTCTAGGGTGTGGATGTGTCAAGAAGAAGGATACGTAATTTAAACACCTTCCATCCGTCATCTTCTTGCCTGCCCTGAGAATGCATTGTTCCATGACTGTCATTAACACTTTGAAGTGCATACGGTTGATCGATGAGAGGAGACAGATGAGAATACGAAAAAGGTCGACTCTAACATTGTCAAACATTAGAACAATCCCACAGTGTAGTATTGACACGTTACTAGATATTTTCCGGTATGGGTTCGGTTGGGACTAAAAATCGAGGTATCGCGTACACATTGGCGTGCATGTAAAATACCCCTTGACAGTTGGAAAGTTTTTCCTCATAACACACTGCATGGTGTATGCCCATCGTAATTAGCCCGGGTGGAGCAGTCAAGGGTGACGTTATCCCCAATTTTATTTCATTTTCGACACAAGTCGATGAGCAACGATGAGTAAGAAGCTAGTTCACTAAATCAGGGGGTTCCGAGATAGATACTGGTGTTGGCAGAGAAAGTTCCGCGTAGTATTCCCTTTGCCAGTGGTGCCTGGCAAGAAACAACGTATAGTGGTTATGATAATGCGAACACAAATAAGGCTCCATAAGTTGTTGGAATTTGAAGAGATTAGGCATGGTGCACCCGTTATTATTTCATTTCACAAACAATCTACTTGTAAATTGTTATAAATAGAAGAACATACAATTGATCACAAGCCCAGGGCAAACAATTATGTCGAAAAGAAATAGACATGCCTGTCTACTCTTAAAACTTTTCTGAAAATTTCAGAAAAAATCAGTGAAAGCTAGGACCTCTGGCATGCTAACCAGGCAGTAGTTTAGAAAAATTTCGGCAATAAAGGTGCATAACTCTACTCTAAAGTATTAATCCGATTTCGCCGAAAAGAAGAAGGCATATTCGGCTTGTCATAATACATGTTTCCTGAAAGTTCCAGACAAATTCGATAACAGCACGGAAAAAACGCTGGTAATGGCAATATACGTCAATATTGAAAATCAATCAGAACATCTGAAACCACTTCTCAATGGGTAGGTTTGATTTCTGAAGTGCAGGTATTTGTGGCAATAGCTCAGTTTGAGTAGAGTTTTATGGCAGACTAATCAGCTCTTTAATCAGTGTCCTTAATTTTTAGTTCCTAATGGGGTTTAGCGTCCTACTGTTTTGCTCCGAACTGGGCTAATGAAGGCGGGCATACGCCATACAGTGTGCTATGAGGGAAATTTTGCCCGGACAGCGGCACTCCGGCCTACTCTTATATCGAATTCCAACTGTCAAGGGATCTTTTACGTGCACGCCAATGTGAACGCGGGGCCTCGGTTTTTCGTCCCATCCGAACGACTAGACAGCTATCATTGTCAGACCCTCCGTCCTGCATCACTGATAAGGGTGAAACCACGCCGGAAAATCTGGATGAACTTTCTCGGCCAATGCAGGGATCGAACACCCGACCTTTAGGCTATTGAGCCAGCGTCTTACCCACTTAGCAGACATAAAAAGGAACCTGAAGAAAATATAGGTCTAGTTAGCAGTATTCATGAAGACACCACGATGTGCCCAAAGAGTCTGTCATACCAGTGTTTGTCTAAAGCGTAAATAAGACAACAATCCTACAAACAATATCACAATCTTCTTCTGCTATACATTGTCTTTTAATCATGTAATTTTCATCTCATCTGTACTGTGCATACACCTTTGCCACGCCGACCTTGTTTTTCGGTTAATGAGACTTGCCGTCATATGATTAATTGTCATAAACTCATAAACGGTGTGCCTGCTAAAACGCCCACAAAAAAACCCCGAATTAGCCCCCCCCCCCCAATATTTCGCCTACAATAATGATTTTTTAGGAGTGTTCAAATTGGTAAGCGACCTTTAGGCTCGCTGTCCTTTTATACCCGGGTTTAAAAGAGGCCCTGGTTTATTTGTTCGCCTCCAAGGCGTCGGTTCAAATGTTTGCATATGCCTACACCCGATATAGGGTGCCTACACCCGATATAGGGTGCCTACGGGCGCCTAAAATGTAGGTGCCTATTGTGCAGCCTATACTGTAGTTCTATGAATAGAATAATAGAATACCTAAATACCTATAGTTCACTTGAAATTTGATACTAGAGCTGTATTTCCCGGAATAGAGTTCTCAGCGTAAATCAAAAGACACTCTCTACTACCCTCAAGATGATATCGGCGGGAGGAGTCGAAGAAGGAAAATTCAGAAATAATACCATGCCTGCGGCACTTCAATTTGAGGCCCAGGAATGCACGCAGATGCGAGGAGAGAGCACCAAATTTTCAAAAATGTTTGGTGGAGGATCCCCAGACCCCCCAAATTTTACGAGCTGGCTACGGGCCCGATGGGGATATTCCATTGGATTGAAGGGCTCCCTGATTACTATGCGTAATCTTGGCTTTTTAAAAACCTGTGTATTGTTACTCGTGCCATGTTGGTCTCCGCTTCAGTGGCAATGTAAGTGTCGGTGTATGGTGATGATCAAATACATTAAAATAGGATGACCCATCGTGATAATTGACACACGTTTGGAATCTTGTCACAAGGCAAAAGGGTAATAGCGTCGACGTTCTTCCAAGACACAAAGTCGTTACTTATTTCTTCAGAGGCGACCGACGATTTGATAAAACAAGCCAACAGTGAGGCTGATGTCCACCGCCGAAATTCCAAAATAAATAGATGACACATATTAATATTAATCGCACATTTATTTTTTTCAAAAGTATCGAGCAATCAAATTATACACTAAGTTTCATCATTATCTATCAGACAGAATCAAGATTATCTTGTCCCAAAGCATCGACCAATGAAACTGATTAGCTCTGGTTAGCTTCAGCTCGAAATGTTAATCATTGAACTCAGTCAAGACATTCACCTAATGAACATCTACATCAAGTTTAAACATTCTACCTCAATTAAAAGCAGAGTTGTTATGTTCCAAAGTCTTGACCAATGAAATTGCTTATCGCTCCTTACCCTAAGCAGAAAATTCTCACCATCGAACTTAGTCAAGGTAATGATATCATGAATCTATATTCGGCGTTTCATCGCTCTCACTTATTATAACCAAAGTTATCGTGCCCCAAAGCATCAACCAATCAGAATGCTTATCGTAAGCAGACAATGTTCATCATCGAACTCCATCAAGGCATTCCCCTAATGAACGCCTACACCAAGTTTGAACATTCTGCCACAATTAGAAGTAGAGTTATTGTGTTCCAAAGTCTCGACCAATCAAATTGCTTATCGCTCTGCTTACTCTCAGCAGAAAATGTTCATTAGTCAAGGTATTGATGTAAAAAAAGCTATACACCAAGTGTCCTCAATCTCACTTAATTAGAACTAAAGTTATCGTGTCCCAAAGCATCAACCAATCAAATTGCTTATCTCTGCTTACCCATCTTCGAACTCCATCAAGGCACCTAATAAACGCATACACCAAGATTGAACATTCTAGCTCAATTAGAAGTAGAGTTATTGTGTTCCAAAGTCACAGCCAATCAAATTGCTTATCGCTCTGCTTACCCTGAGCAGAAAATGCTCATTATCGAACTTAGTCAAGGTATTGATGTAATGAAACTATACACTAAGTTTCATCACTCTCACTAAACTAAAGTTATCGTGTCCCAAAGCATCAACCAATCAAATGGCTTATCTCGGCTTACCCTAAGCAGAAATTGTTCATCTTTGAACTCCATCAAGGCATTGACCTAATAAATACCTACACCATATTTGAACATTCTAGCTCAATTAGAACGGACAGACAGACGGACGAACTCATTTTAATAGTCCCCTGCGGGGAACAAAAAAAGAGAAGAAGTTATAGAAACCACGTCAGTAAAACAAGCAAAATGTAGCCTTTGGATTATGTACGTGATATCACTGGTCTTGGTCAGGTAAGAGATCACAGTTTACGTAATAAATGTCAAACAATAATGTAAAATGAAATTTATTTACAAATACTTTTATAATAAAAAAATACCATACATAAAAAAAACTACATGAAGTCATTAATAACTGCTGCTTTTAAGAAAAATGTCATGATTAAATCTATTGACTGACCATCTACAATCTGAAAAAAGGCCTAGTAATAAAATTGTTCTGAGTTATTGGGGGTTTTTTTGTTTTTTTTAAAATTATATTATGGAATGTTATAACAAAAACATATTGTAAGTCTGCACTCTCTAGGTAAAAAATCATAAAACCAGTAACTACAATAATTTTCGATGTGCATAGTAAGAATCTGATGACTTCGTTTCATTATACTAAGGCCTGCTATATGACATGACCTTAACTTTATTTTATGTCAGATCGGTTTCTTGTCATAGCTTGAAAATGGTCAATAACTCTTAAATACAAATGTGTAAAATTATGAATACTTTACACCATTATCAAATGTATAAAAAATGGACAGACAAAACTTTAATAGTATTAGAAGTAAATCTTGCCAACCACTCTTTAATTCCAACATGTACAATTAGTGATTGCTTTAGATTGTGATAAAATAAAAGTAAAACGATGCTATAACTTTGAACATGGGAATACAAGTAGCCAGAAATACACAGAACACAATTAAAGAAACATTATGTAAGAGCTAAATCTGCATATTGCAAGTCTTTTTTTTTCTGTTATGTAAATTATTATTTAGATATTTATGCACAAGACAAGACCATAATCAACCCTCTTTGACATCTGATGGCTAAGATATTAAGTGGATAAGAACACCTGTGCCTTTTAACTGGTTAACATTAACATGGAAAATCAAGACTTTGTTTATTATTGTACCAATCAAGACTAGGTTATTTTTGTCTAAACATTCATAACTTTGCTCACAATAAAGTCAAGATTTTGTTTATTATTGTAACAATGACAATCGAAACTAGGCTATTTTTGTCAAAATTTTAAGTCATTTGACTGAAATT